AGACCACTAAGTGCTCAGGTACACTCACTAGCTGGAGCACAACTCAGCGTGCCACGTCACATACATATAAGCACTTTGAGTTCAGCTTTCTGGAGGCAAAAATCATATATCCCTGTTAATGACGTGGTAGGAACCAGGCTTCTACCACAGACAGCAACATGCCTGGAAGCGAAAGAGTGGATGATACCCACATTCAGATCCCAACAAATCTGACAAGCGTGCTTCTCATGCTTCAATGAGAAAGCACTGAACATGCAGAAGTGTCCAGGTTTGGACCTAACTTTCCGTATTTCCTTGAATTGTGTAGTCTAGCAGTTATATGCTCTATATTTCAGAAGTAACCTTTCCTATTAGAAAAAGCAGTATTTAAAATGCACCAATATTTTCTCTGTAAACACAACCCTCCTTATTTCTCCATAATGTACAGTATATCTCATGAGTTATTTTTCCACATTGAGGAGGCTCATACCATCATTCGAATCCTCACACTAGTGAGAAATCCAAGACATTTTTGATGTGAGCAGGAAGTCATTGTAAGCACTGCTGAATTCTTGGTTTTCTATTGCCCCAAACAGCCCTGAAGCACTGCAAAACGTACTACACAGCAGTAGACATCTGACTTTCATTGGATAAGGAGGACTGCATTTTGGAATTACTTATTTGCTTGGTAATAGCTCTGGGAATCTCCTATTGTTTGTTTATCCCCCGAGTCTTTAATTTAACTGTGTGCTCAGATTTGGTTAGGAGGTGTGAAAATTCCTCAGAGGCGTTTTTACTGGCTCAGTGCGAACATGCAGAACAGAGGCCACCTTCAGAGCCACGGGCCCAGACTGATGCTTTGGCAATTCCAGTGCTGCTCTCTGAGGATGAAACTTTGCTCAGCGCATAGCCTCATACAGATAAAAAATAATTGTGCCTTTGTGAGGTATAAGAGGAGGACTGGTTTTCAATTAATATACTCTATCTTGGTCAAACATCAGATTGTAACTGCATGTAGCATACCGGTATGTGCTTGTGTGTCACTTTAAATAGAGGCCACTCACCAAATCCAAGACATATTTGAAATCAATATGCTGGTTTTCATTCGTGCACACTGGCTTGCCCAGATACTGTATGCTGTATGTAAAGCACCCCACATATTTACAGAGTATACCTTCCTCATAAATTTTTTTTTTTTTAATTTTCCTCTGTTGCTGCCATTCATAAACACAGAACAGGCTCCTCACTACAGAGCCAATTCAGACCTTTTGAACTCAAGCCTAGAAGTTCTAGTTGAATGCAGATTAATACAAATATTGTGCACTTTTCCCTACCTTTATGATAACATAATTGTGAAATCCTAGTCCCACTGAAGTTACAGGGAGTATAGCCCTGGATTTCAATAGAACCAATTTATAAATGTAATTGATGAACATTTTGAGAATATGTATTTAATCAGAGAACAGAAACAATTGTACTATTAAAGGTAGGAGAATTAACATAAAAGTTTCTGGGGTTTCTTACATCTAGAAACCGAGAACTGTTTTGTTCACAGAGAATCAGAGAGAATGCAGATCACAATACTGTCTACTCATAAGGCTTAAAATATCTTCAATTTAATGATTTTTAGAAAGAATTACAAATTCTGAAAAATCAGACTTTGTTTTATTACACAGCATATTTTTGGTCAATAATAACTAAATCATACTACTGCTAATGTACATCATGTCATCTTAATTACTTATTTCCCATAAATATTTCAATTAAATGACATGCTGGGGAGAGAATATCTACGAACAGGTAGGGAGAAGAAAAGAAAGAAGCTGGTAGACACGGATGGTGAAAAAACAAAAATCAAACAATGGAAGAACTGGATGAAAATGAATTTAACAATCTGATTGGAACTTCTGTAATACTGTATAGAGCTTTCCAGGCAATCTGCAAAATTGTTGTTTAAATGCCAAACAGAATTCGTATATGTTACAAATTTACTGTAGAGATAATGTGGAATAGCATAAACTGATAGAGGAAGAGAAAAATATTAAAGTCATAATTAAAGTTTTTGTATTAACATTTTCTTGATATTTTTTTAAGCTTACCATAACTTTCCAGTTCCACTTTTGTCATTTCCCTAACCCCTTCATCTCCATTTTAAACAAACACAGAGCTGGATAATCAGAGATAATAGACAGATCTTGAAGTTAATTGACAATCTATTTCAGTCCACTGTAAAATATGCCATTAAATAATTTAACATCTTACAATAGTCACTTGAATTTTAAAGATAGAATATTCACTTTGTTGCTGCTGTTGTTTTTTAATTTAGCATTAATTTTTTAACACAGTGGAAAAAATGTAAATAGGTGATATACTTCCACAACATTATTTAGCTACCCTTTCTGCCCCCCAGTTCCATATAAGTAAGGAATTGGAAAGGGCAAAGCAGTGACATCTAACCTCCTCAAATACAGGATTAACCATAATTAACTCTTACCTTTGGTAATCACTATGTTTCATTAAATTATCATTTACCCACCCAAAAAAGGAAATATATAGCCTGCAAGCAGGCTTGCAATTTTTTATATCCTTTTTCATGCACCTTCCATGCAAAGTGAAAATAAATGCAAAGTCCAATATTCTACCAAAAAAGGCCCAGAATGCAGATCTCTCACTGCTCAAAAGACTGTCAATGGATTTATTGTGTTGATAATTGAAATGACAGTAATTAGCAGGTTTTTCAGTTTTACAGCAGAACTGGAAAAGCTCTCATTGGGAGGACAAAAATATGAAAAATTTCTGGAAAAATGAGATCAGTAGATGTTGGCTTATGCTGAAAGAAATGGCAGCTTGAAAACTGATCTTTACTATATTCAGGCACATAGATGACGCCACTGAAAAAAAGGAAGAGGAATGAGTACAAATATTTCAGTGTTTTCCTTGAGAAAGGAGAAATCTAAAAGCACACAACTGCAGTAAAGAAGTGCTTCAAACCAACAGGTAAATAAAATATGTTCAAGATTTAAGGGTTAAAGCAAGAATCACCTCTGAAAATTTTAAATCTTCTCTAATTAGAGGTATGTAAAACTACAATAATCAATACTAGAAAAATACACCAGTAATTATAATAGGGAAAAGAATCTATTAAGGATTTTCAGAAGGTGTTAAAAAACATGGGGTTCCAAATCTGTCAAGACCCATAAGTTATAGTGTGCAATACTGTTACTCAGTTTCAAAGTAAAATGTATCAAGCTGCCTGTTATGGCTAAAGGAAGAAGATAAAGAAGAAAAAATAATCTGTAAAAGGGAGTGGGGAAAAAGGAAAAAAAAAACCAACTGTGTCTGCTTTATAGGTGAAAAATCAAAAAAAACCAGGCGTGGCCTTATGGACTGCAATGGAGATGCATGACTGCAAAACTAATCAGGCTTTGTATTTATAAAAAGCAACTTTACCACTTTGCACACATATATGTGCTAATGTTGGGTCTCAATTACTGTCTGATCTGAACGTCCTGCCCTAATGCCTTAACTTGGTTTTCAGCTAAACTGCATTTCTCACGTTACCCTATCCTTTGTTGCTGAAGAAAAGGTTTGTATCCTAAACATATTACAGTTGCAGTTCCATGAGCAATGTATGGGTTTCATACGGATTTATGAATTCATGTTGAGTCCCATGTGCAATCACTGAAGTCTAATAATGGTTGAAATCACACTGCGGTCTTACCTTCAGCAGAGGCATAAACATGGACCCTTTCCCCAGCCTGTTCTTGTGAAGCTTATAGGAACTTTAGTATCACTGAAAGAGCTGAGACTTAGAAAAACTTGACTGAAATGGGCCAAAGGATTCAAACATTATTAGCAAGGACAGTCAGACAGACTGAACAAAGTGAAGGAACAGCATCTTTTCCTCAAGAAAACACATTCTAAAGCAAGTGATAAGGCTGGAAACTAGGAATATTACGTAAGAGGAAAATGAGGAGTAATTTATAACTTTTAGTAAGACATTCTCACTTGCAAAGGCTGGAACATTACCAGTTATATTCTACCAAAAAAGTACAGAATTCTCATATGAAATTAAAATAGTAACAGCTTTCAAACCCTATCTTTATTGAAATTAATGTGATAAACACAGAAAGACAATCCAGAACATTAAAAATCATTAAGGATTGACTGATAATGTTGTTTGTGTTTTAAAAATGAATTGGTCACATTTTTACAAGCAGTATGTATATTTAAGTTACGGATATTTCAGCTGTATTTTTATTGTGTGACATGACACATCAATTTTTGGTTTTAAAGTTCAATAAAACATTAAAGTTAATTCAACGGATTTTAGTTAAAAATCGGCTGTGGATTTAATAAAAAAATTTCATTTTCTATTACTGATTTCTCTAAGAGAAATTATTTCACCTTAAGACACTGATGTTTCAAAAGGCATCTTTCAAGAACTGCCCTTGCTGGGGGTAAACAGGCCACTAGGTAAGGCCAGCCAAAACAATGTAACAATGTTTGACAATTAATGCAATTACAATTTCTTGTACAGTGATCGATTTCAGACTAATTTCAAGTTTAATAAATATTAAGAATGCACCAAACAAGCCATAACATTCTCATCTACTGCATATCTGACTATGTTAACTAAAGCAGTAATGTGAACCACTTCAGGAAATTTGAGTTTTCCTTGATGTATTCATTATTTATAAATGCCACTTTTCCCTCTCTCCATCTCCCCTCTAGTTGATGAAAATGCAAAGGGTGTTTAGATGTAATTTTTTCAAGAAACACGTGAAAGAGAAGGTGCAAAATGCATGAGATTGGGAAATAATGCAGTCAAGTGTCTTCTGAAAAGCACTCACAATACAGATACACCTGTGTAAGCTGTATACATGTGGAGATAATCAGTTACTCTAAAACTGTGCCCAAAACCTGTATTAACCCATAACTTCTTGTACTATCAGATAAAACCTGATTTTCTTTAAGAACTTGATCTTATACAAGCATTTTCAAGTCGTACTTGTTCTTACCTGTAGTAGAGCTGCAAACAAATATACTGCTATAAAGATGGGAGTTAAGGAAGTGTGGCCACTCTTCATTAAGTGGATAGTGTACAAGAAAATCAAGTGTCCGGGAATCACCAAAAGAAGCAGAACTTGGGCTGATTTGTTATTTACTCCTACAATGACAAAAATCCAAAATTCAGTTAAGCTCTTCAATTACTATACTACATTTTTATTAACTTTAATATAAAAAGCAGTTTTGGAATTCCACAGCATTGACTGTTGTGGAACAGCAGGCATTATTTTCTGCTAAAAGACTTCTTGAGGATTTTCACAGGTGGGGGAAAAAGCCCCCTCTAGTGTGTACCAGAAAAGTTAAGTAGGGCCCTTCCAGAAGAGGATGAAAACTGTCTAATTTCATTCTGTACTCATGTAATACCATCTACTTTTCTAGAGCTGCAGTGATCTCCTAAAGCCTTCCTAGGAAAGAGGATGTTTTGGACACCATATTCAAGACATCCTTAAAAATAGTTTATATTTCTAAAAAGTAATCCCACATTTACCATTTTCTCATCTGTTCCAATTAATTTCATAAACATGAAAGCATAATACATGCTATTGACTCACCACCTTTCACCACAGTTACTACATTATTAGGAATGGGAGCAATACAAGGGAGGAATAAGCTGTGAAGCAAGAATCTAGAAAGAAAATGGCAAATAGGAAATGGAAAGTAAGGGCTTGGCTTAGTAATAATATTAGGTATAAAGTTTGGTCCTAACAGCAAATTAGTTTGAACTTCTGGAGTTAAATGACAAAGGTTAGCAGCAGGTAAACACACGAAAGACTGACAGTTTGGAATCCTGAGTGGGTATCACAGCATCATGCCTCATCAATTCCTGTCTTCAACCCTTGCCAAGGTTACGCCTTTCTCTGTGCTCCTCTCGATGCATCACCTCCTGCAGGGAGTGCCTTGTGATTCTCATGGGCAAAGGAAACCACCAAGCCTCTGCTGCCTTTGAGCTGCATACAACAAGTTCAGTTTGTTGCCATTTCTCATTGGTGGTACAGTCTGGCATATAGGGGGAAAGCGAGGAGACATGAGACAGTAGTTTTAACAATTAACTGAGTGATATGTACCTGTACCATAATAGGTTCTGCATGGATAATAGCAACCCTTGGCTTCTTCTGGCAGCTCTCCAGGAATGCTATGTAAATGGAGGTAGGTAGAAATTCTGCTAGCTTGAATAGCTACTAGATTACCACCAATACCTGAAATACAAAAGGGAACAAGTGGTAAATTTTCAACTATTTTTTTCTTCTAGTAGGCAATATTTTTGTAAATTTAACAAATTCCTTTATTTTACCAGTACCCTATATACAAAAGTCAAAAAGAGAAACAAACTTAAAATGTGTATTAGTTATAGACAGGCTAACACCAGCCATTAAAATAAGTCAGAAACTTGGGCTACAATTTGGTGTATCACTGGATAATTGGAATATATTTGGAATACATGGAGATCAGTTTTAATTCATGATGAGTGAAAAAGATTCCTCCAGAAGGTTAAATGTGATACTTTCTCATAGGTGAAGGTCCCTTTTATTGCTCCCCCTTTCTTTAGAAATCCCTCTTGGAACAACAGAAGTACCACATAGCTGTGTCACTGCTGGATTACCTTCCTAGGTCAGTAGTGCTGGCAAGTGTAAATAACACAAAGCAGATGCACTCACTACCACAGGTATAAGTGCAGATTTCACGCACAGAATCATAGCACTGGAAAAGACTTCAAGAGCTAATCTATCTATTCTCCTTTGCTGCAGAGTAGGATTAATCTTCTGCCATTCATAATTCAGGCTGAAAGAACAAGACAAGTGTCTGAATAAATGGTTTTTATAAGAATGGTAGTGATGGAAATTCTACTTTCTCTGTGACAACTGTTGATATACTTCTCATTAGAAAAAAGATCTCTTTGAAACAATATCTATGAAACAAACCACTCTAGGATGAGAAGTGTTACAAGGCCACTGTCTACATTTTTTGAAAAGTTGTGGAGACCAGGGGACATCCCTGACGACTGGAAGAGGGCAAATGTCACACCCATCCTTCAGCAAAGCATTTGGAAGTTTCCCACAGCTTCCTCCCAGACAAACTGGCAAATTACAGACTGAATGGGTAGTCTGCAAGATGGGTAGGAAATTGGCTAGCGTGTTGCACTCAGAGGGTGGTGACCAATGGCTTTTAGAGGAGGCTGATTGTCACAAGCAGGGTCTCCAGGGATTGATACTGGGCCCCACACTGTTCAACATCTTCATAAATGTCGATGGTGGATTGAAAGCACCCTCACCAAGTTTGCTGATGGAGACGTCAGAAGGGAGAGCCATCTTACAGAGAGACCTGGACAAGCTGGAAGAGTATGAAGTTTAACAAAGACAAGTGCAAAGTCCTGCAGCTGGGACAACATAACCAAAGAGCCCAGTACAGGCTCGGATCTGTGTGGCTGGGGAGCACCTTGCTAAAAGGGACCTGGGGATCCTGGTGGATGAGATGAATGTGAATTAGCAGTGCACCACTTCAACAGCGAAGGCAAATCAGGGGCATTACTAGCAGACATAGAGATGTAATCATCCCACTCTAGTCAGAAATTGTCAGGCTGCATCAGGAGTACAGTGTCCAGTTCTGGTCCCCACAATACAAAAAGGATGTGGACAGAGTGGAGAAGGTCAGAAGGAGGCCCACGAAGATGATCAAAGGGCTGGAGAATCTGCTCTATAAGGAAAGACTGAATGAGTTAGGTCTTTTCTGCCTGGAGAAGAGAAGGCTCAGGGGAGACCTCATTACAGTTTTCTAGTACTTAATGGGTGGCCACAAAGAGGACGATGGCTCTCTTTTCACAAGGAGCCACATAAAGACAACAAGGGACAATGGGTACAAGTTGCACCGGAAAAGCTTTCATCTCAATATAAGAAATTGTTTGCAGTGAGAACAATCATTCACTGGAACAACCACCTTAAGGACATGGTGGAATCTACTTCACTGGAGGTTTACAAGACGTGACTGGACAGGGTGATAGACAATTTCATCTAGGCTCCTTTTCTCACAAAAGGTTGGACCAGATGATCTTCTGAGGCTCCTTCCAACCTGGGCTGTTCTATGAATTTTTACTTAAATGAATAGAAAACTAAATGAACTTATTATATCTACATTACAGAATGCAGTGGCACTAGCATAAATTTCTTCCATTATTATACTCTAGAGTTCTCTACTTGCATATCAAGCACGTGCTTCCCCCCCATGCGGTGCTGCTAGAAGCAATCCTTGTATGCTTGGGGCTCACACCAGCAGAGCTGAGCTTTTGCTGCCATGGGTTGGTGGGTCTCAACCCACCCTCTATTATGGCTACTGAAAGGTTTAAGTTTTACATAAAGGGACTGAGTTTTCCTAAATGCTCATGTAATGTCCACTTCTTGTTAGTGCTGGCACAATAATGTGCCTTTTTCCTAACATTAGGAACTCCAGTCTTTTGAATGATACCCTTTAAACACTGGAGGCTCTTTCATTTTGAGATCAACCCAAACTGATTACAGTCACATAGATGTGTATGAAATTACACCTGTTCAACACATACATTGCTGACTTCAACTTGTAAATTAAGGGAAGGAAGGTTAGAGAGTAAATAAATATATTGATATGTTGCCCTCAATACACATACCTGAGCCGGAGATGAGTTTCCATTGGTGGTAGCTCATTGAGTTGATCGACTTCATTTAGACACATTGGCAGTACCCTCCGTAAGTGGCGGGGGGGACACAAAACACTAACTTGAGAATTTAAATATTGAAAAACTTGCTCTTTACTACTGGAAAAAAATACTGAATTATTTCCTTTTTAAAGGAAATATGTCAAAGCTCTGGATGGAAATGGCTGGGGGTGTCTGTTTCTGGAAAAAAAACAATGTGCTGAGCTGTAACGAGCAGAAAGTTTGTTCCTTTCAAAGCATCTTTTGGAAGAGCTGATTGGGAAGAAGTGTGTCAGAGACACTTGTGTGAGGGAATCTGATGCTCCTAACTGGGCATGCAAATATTCACATACTTAAGAACTGAGTTTAAAGTTTAATAGGCAAGTGTAGCTGTTGAGAAAGCAGCTGTATTACTTTTAGTTCAGTTGCGCAGAGACTTCTCTTATGTTTACAGTTAAGGAAATGGGAAGTCCTGTGGGAAGTTGGGGGTAGTACTTGGAAACATGTGTCTCTATGCTGGATCAAGGCTAATGCCATATTTCTTTTTTCTACTAATATTTTGTTAGCCAGAAACCTAAA